GATAAAAATACTAGTTCCTAACCGATAGTGCACCATACAGGTCTGTGACACAATCATTCTGCATAGGCTTAATGTCTATTTCTCTTCTAGCTGGGATTCATTGAAGCAGCACTGATTAGCTGTATATTGTATTCGTAAAATCACACGACAAAATCTCAGATATTGATTGAATAATGACATGAGGACGATTAACCCTTAGGCTGCTACGCACGGCATATGCCGTTTTGAAAAGTCGGGCCATCAGTGCTACGCAGGGCATATGTCGTTTCTCGGTCTGTAGGTTTTGATCGGTAGCCAGGAAGTGTGAAGTCGGGTTGTTGCTATACCAAACCCGAACGTGTATAGTAGAAGGCTTCTGATTGGTTGTTTTGTCATTACTTTCGATATTCACGGCAGTGTAAGCTAGTAATAAGCAAAGGTGTGCGAGAGAATTTCAAATCGAAAAAAACATCATAAAAATGGCGGACGTGTAGATTGAAGCGATGAATATGATGGTAAACATTTATTCTCCATCGTCACCTACGATGATAATAAAGGTTTTGAAGGGTTTGACTTGGTTGATGTGGAAATACTTCGGTGTAACATAATATGTTACTTTCCAATAAACGGCTTTGTGCCCTACGCAAACAGGAAAAATATCGGCGGACCGAGGCGCACATGTCATCTGCAGGTGAGGCCGAATTGAACATTGACATTGATACGTTTTGAGCCGATTTATTTCTTCAAACTTTTTATCGGTGATTTAATCATAAACTAGACCGTAGCTAAGATATATCTATATGCCGACTGTGACAGTTAATGTATTGAATGGCGACCTGAAACCGGTAGAAAATCACATGCAATTCTTTACGAAATACCTGACCTTTTTACCTGAGAATCTCCGTGTAAATTACAGCGTCTTATGTCAAAAATGAAGTTTATAATCTCTGTTATCATTTGCCAATCCCATTTGCGGACAGAAATAATTTTAAAATGATCTTTCTCTTGCTTAAATCCCATTAATTAAAAGTTTAACATTTTCTTACCTTTATTACCACCTGTACAGGTAAATACTGAAGCAACTTTAGAATTGAAAACGTCAATATAAGCTAGAGACAACAACGAACAATTTTCATACAACTTTTTTTCACATATAACAAATATTTTCCAAGTTATGCACATTTGAAAAATCAAGTAAATTAATTTAAATTTCAATAATTAATTCAGCAGTGGTGTCCCTTTACATAGAAATCAATGTAGCAGCCTAAGGGTTAAACAATGGTGGGCAGTATTACTTTCATACAATTACATCACTGGGGACTATGACTTACATGTAGCTTACAGCATGCTCTGTGACATAGCTTTCTTCCTTAGTCGTTTGCCAATATATCACACTACTTGCCAATATAGTTTTCCGTGGTGTGTGATGTACAAAATCCATTACTGCCTTCTTCTGAGTGCACTATGGTATTGCATTGTTGCCTTGGGAAGGGATATATAGAATCATTCACCCCCTTGGGGGTGAGATAGGGGAATCTCAACCCGAGGGGGAAGGTTCTTAAGTTGGCAAACACGAGGCTTTGTCGAGTGTTTGGCAACTGAAGAATCTTTTCCCGAGGGTTTAGATTCCTCTATCTTACCCACAAGGGGGTGAATGATTCTTTTTCTCTTACCCTGTTCTTCCAATGTGTATCATATACACAATGTAATGACAACGTTACATGCTAAATTCAGGGTTGACGTGTCGTTGATGGATTGTTGACGTGACGTCATTGTATTGTTGAAGTGACGTCACACCATTGTTATGAATAGGGGAATCCCCCCCTGTCTCGGCCCTAGGGCGGAGACAGATAAATCTAGCACCGGCAAAACGGGAGATAAATCTGTCAGGTGTGGGAGAAATAGTGCTCTCACCTTGGCAATACTTAGTTCCCTTGACAACAGTAGGAGATCATTGCACCCTCCAATTAGAGCAGAAGGCAGTGATAGATGAAAAAGATGAAATCTGAAAAGAAATATGTCTATAGATAAAATCCATTATTACGCTTTAAACTGGATATATATTTATAAAAAAAAAAAGTTGTGAACAATTTATGAATTGAGGTATTGATGATGGGTAGTAATACCAACCAGACAGCCTCTTGATCAATGCTCTATAATATAAATTTGTCAGTATAAATAGCCCTAATGTCTTGTTGGTCACAGACCAGGTTTTGTTACACACCAATTTCAGATAACAGCTGGGTAAACTAGTGCAAATGAGGGCCATTTTTATGATAAATTCATATTAGAGAGCAACAAACCAATATGCCTAAATGTGCAGCCAAACTGATCAATGTGTATGTCCTGTCAGGGATTGGGAAGAGCAAGCTAGAGTCATGGAACAGAAGTACATTCATATTTGGAAATATAGCCAATAGAGTGTAGACAATCTTTTTCATCGCTGTCCTTTAACTATAATTGGCCTTAGAAAACAAAAATATACCAAGAGCCATTGGTAAGATGTGCATGTGATGAGGCAGAGAAATCCTCCGAAGAGCGTTGGTCACTTTTAGATTACACATGGCACAGGTAATGGTCATTAGTTATATATAATACTACTTAGTGCTACCAATTCAGATTTTAATTTTTGGAAGCTGCTATACATGCTCCTACCAGATTTATATCTGGGTAATTATCATGGAGAATACTACAAAGTGGTTAATCTTGACTCCATGTTAAAATCAGGGGTTCTTCAAATATTTCAAATATTTTTTCAACATCAAAGAATTGTTTGTGGCAAAAACCAGCTTATATCAAGCATTTATGTTACCCTTTACAAGAACAATTTTGAGTGGGAGGATTCCAAACAAAATTGTCCTGACTAATTAATGACAGAACTGACTATAATCGTGGAGATATAGGTAGGTTAGGAGATACAGGTAGGACGTACTAGCAGGTGTGACTCGTGGGTGAGCTGATGTCTTTCATCCATCTTATTCCTGATTGCATAAAAGAAAACCTAACAAGACTGCGTCAAGCCTCTATATATATTTACCTTGTGCATTAGTTTGATTATATACTTGAATAGTTGCAAGGCGTTAGACAAGATTGATCATTTCTCCGCCACTTGTTCAGGATTGATGATGGGATACAGCTGGCTGAGGTACAGTGGCAATGCCGCCGTCAGATTACAGGACTTCCCATAACAAGGTGTCTGACCACGCTTGTTACATTGTTACATCTATCATATCACGTGTAATCTTATAAGTTTATAAACTAAAAACAGATTCACAATATATGTAATACACTCCAGATATACATCAGCTGATATATCTAAGCTGTAGCTGGCATGCTTGTCTGCTTCAGATAACACGTTTAATGGGAGACTTTGTCTGCTTTTATACTTAAAACTCGTATTACACCAATAAAAGATAATCATTTCAACAAGGACACCTACACAGACTTCTCACTGGGGGGACGAGATCGGGATCATCACATGTTTGAGCGATGAGGAA